CCGATCCAGTTCGATTTTACCCTCAAACCGATAAAAATCGGACCGAAACCGAACTGGTCGAACCGTTAACATCCCTACGCCACTGGCAATTAAATTATTTTTGGGATAATAAAATTAATAAAAATTTATTTTTGTTTTCGCTGAAATGAGCAGAAATTATAATTAATGTAATAAAATATCCGCAGAATGATGAAAATAAGCCGCAGAAAGCAGGATAGATTTTAAAATAAACGTTCGCCGCCGGAGATCATCGTCCCTGGTTACCATATTGTTATCCCTCGCGTTATTCCGTCACGCGTAACAAATGATTATAAAAACGCGTTTTTCCGATTTTCTTTATTTTCAAAAATTTTTTGACCTAGGAATTTCTGAAAAATACGAAAGTTTTTTTTTTTGTTTGTTTTTACTTCTTTTACTTGGAGATTTCAGAGTCAACGCGATTTTTTTTTCCTTTTCTACTTATCCTTCAACAATTCTAAAGAAAGCTTGATCTCAAAAACTAAGGTAAATAATTATATTAATTTAAGGACATTTGCTTGCGGCTCTATAATGGTTTTTTTTTTTGTTATTCAGTATGAGTTTCCTGTGAAGAAATTATATTCTAAAGTACCGTTACATTATATAAGAAATTATCTTGAGTGAATTAATACCAGTAAATCGTAGAAATTAGTCAATTGATTAACTGCCAAGACAGTAAATGGAGAACTGGAAACGCTTAGTGTCCTCATTTAAGATAACTCCCAAATAAAGAATGTGAACGGCCATCTCGTATTTTACTGATCACTGGTCATGTTCTATTTAAATGACCACTTTCAAGAAATTATCCGGATGAACTTGGGGAGAATGTCTTGTTTTCTATTTAGTGACTTGCTTGGATCTAGCTTTATTCAGTATGACTAGTTTAAGATCTGAACAATCAACTTTTTACGAATTATTCTCTCCATTGTCTGTTCATCATTGTTACAGTATATAGGAATTTTATGAATTTCAAAATTTTATATAATGTTTTGAAATAAAGTAATAATAAATTTAAACATGCATTAAATAATAAGGTGGCGGAGGGAAGGTTACACCAGCCAGGTATTTATTCTTTTTACTTACTTATTAGTATCCTTTAATGATAAATAACTAATTTTGTATAGAGTACAAGATCATGTGATTCAGATTAATCTAATCCTGGTATATATATTACACTCAGCCTTGGGTGTTGATATATTTTCTTTAAATTTGTCCCATTGTCACGATAAATTTATTCCCAAAGTATTTGGCGTTTGTAATTAAAGCTTCGAGCAACGAATTCGCCTACAGCAGAATTCTGTCGTCTTAATCGTACTTTTTAAAAACCAGGCAAACTTTCTCTCTTTTTGCCAAATTTATTTCTCTAAAAAAAAGTTGGAAAAATGGGCATAGCTGACTTAATTGACCAAGCATTAAATAGAAGTCCGCAGCCAGAGACTCATGAGAAAAAAGTTAGAAATGAAAAATTATTTGGTGCTTTTGAAATTCTTCAGAATACCATATATTAACCAAAAATTTTCTTTCTACCTATCTCATTTTTTTTTTTAGAAATATTATAGGATAGGAAAGACGCTAGGTAAATATATACGCTAATTATTGTTTGATTCTCACCGATATTTATTATGATTCAATCACGAAAATTACACGTAATTCTTATTACAACGTTGAATAGGTTCTGGTACATACGGATCTGTTAAAGAAGCAACCAAAATTACAACAGGACACAAAGTAGCCATTAAAGTGATAGATAAAAAAAAGGTTAAGCATCAAGAATCAATGGTAAAACAAGAAATGGAGATATTATCACGATTAGATCATCGTAATATAGTAAAATTTTTTGATTGGTTTGAATCAAGAGATAAATATTATTTGGTTTTTGAACTGTATCCTTCTTTTAGTATTTAATTTATCTTGAATTTTTTTTTTTTTTTTTTTGTCCTTAATGAAATATAATTTGAAAGTGCGACAGGAGGAGAATTGTTTGACAGGTTAATGGCACGTGGGAAATTTACTGAATGTGATGCTGTTGAGGTTATTAAGATTGTACTCATCGCGGTTAAATATCTACATGAGAATAATATTGTACATAGAGGTGAACCAATGATCATTCTCAAATATTTCTTTGAACGCATTGTATTTTTATTTACATTCTTTGAAATTGTAGATCTGAAACCGGAAAATCTGATTTACAGAAATAAAAATGAAGATTCAGAGCTTGTACTTGCAGATTTTGGGTATTTCATACTATACTGACTTTATTAAGATTATAATCATCTCGAATGAATATTTATTTATCTTTATTTGATAGTATCTCTAAAGTTATATCAGATAGTGATGATATAATGATGACACACTGCGGGACTCAACTTTATGCGGGTATATTCAATTATATTAATATATATAAATTTAAGTATTTTATTAAATTCAGCACAAATTTTTTCATCATAGCTCCTGAAATTTTAAAACGTATGCCATATTCGAAATCCGTTGATTTATGGAGTATTGGGTAACAAAAAAAAAAAGTATTTTCTATGTTAGTTTCAAGATTGCATATTAAATATATATCTAATTTTAATCTCTTTCTGAACAGAGTCATTACATACTATCTGTAAGAATTTATAATTTCCTTTTTTAACAAACATACATGACCCTAATCCTTGTATTAAATTCAATAGACTTTGTGGTTATCATCCGTTTCAAGCAAGAGATAGCGTTGCTTTCTTTGAGGAAGTAACTAATGCTCGTGTCAAATTCGAAGTTCGATTCTGGAGAAACGTGTCAGAAGATGGTTAGATATATATATATATTAAGTTAGTAGATGCATATTAAACCCCTTATTAATATTTATTATTTTTATTTTATTTTAGCCAAAGATTTCATCCTTGCACTTCTTAGTTTAGATCCTTCAAAACGGCTAACAGCCGAAGAAGCTCTAAAACATAAATGGATTACCGGAAATGTGGCCAAGGATGTAGATTTATTAGAAGATTTCATGGAGAACTTTAACGCACGTAAAACATTCCGAAAAGCGGTTGATGCGGTTCAAGCAGCAAATCGACTTCGAACTACCACACAGAGATTTAGTGGTGATTTTGAAGAAATTAAGTATGAGGAAGAGAATAGTAGGACAACAGAAAATAATGAAAATGGGCAAAAGAAGAGAGAATTATACGCCGTCATTTAATTATAATTCGAATTTTTTAATTATTTGTAATTTATTTAGTATATGTTTATGTATTTATAGAGATTGTCTTTAATTTATTTAAAATATATTGTTTATTTATTTTCATATCACATGATATAATAAAATTTACAACCTGATTAGCGGAAAATTGTGATACAAAACTATAAAAAAAAATTATCGAGATTTTAAATTTCTTCGAACTCTATATGAGATAAATCAATTTTCTGTAGTTTAAAGAGAAATAAAGACTTAGATCTTAAAAATGTCTGGAAAGGATAATATGAGCGCTGTTTATGCAACAGACGAGTATGGACGTCCTTTTATCATTGTCAGAGAACAACAAAAGAAAAGCAGACTTAGTGGTATTGAAGCTATAAAGGTATTTATATTTCTTTACTATATAAAATATCACGGCTATTTTAAGATAATTCGATTTAATAAAAACCTTTTTGATTTATTATGATAGTCACATATTTTAGCCGCAAAAACCGTTGCTAATATTATCAAGACTTCTCTGGGTCCTAGAGGTACGTGTTATTCTTCGATAAGATATAAAGTGTTGCTTTTTGTTTTTTGTTTTTTTGACATTATTTAGTTAGATCAGTTTATGCGAAATTTTTTTTCTTTTTAGAATACTTAAATTAATATCAAAAATATTTATTTCAATTTTCAATTTCAAAAATTTTTTTTTTTTTTGAATATTTTTATAAATCTACCTACTAAAAGGTCTTGATAAAATCCTTATTTCACCCGATGGAGATATCACTGTTACAAACGACGGTGCAACAATCTTGACTCAAATGGAAGTTGAGCATCAAATCGCGAAATTATTAGTACAATTATCTAAATCTCAAGATGATGAAATTGGTGATGGAACAACTGGTGTTGTTGGTACGTTTGATTACGTTTGATGTCATTCCTCTACAAATTTAAATATATGATCTGAAAATTAATTTTTTTTTTAAAAAAAACAAAAAGTTCTTGCTGGTGCTCTTCTTGAACAATCCGAAAATCTCCTGGAAAGAGGTGTTCATCCTATTCGTATAGCAGATGGATTTGAGACAGCCTGTAGAGTTGCCGTGAAACATTTAGATACAATTTCTGATGTAGTAGAATTTACTAAAGATAATACTGAGAATTTATTTAATACTGCAATGACATGTTTAGGAAGTAAAATGTAAGTGAGTTAAACGAACAAGAGTTGTGTAGTTACAATTATTTTAATGTGAATAATTTTTTTTATTTATTTATTTATTTATTTATTTATTTATTTATTTTTTTTAAAAAAAAGAGTTTCGAAGAATCATGAACAATTCGCTAAAATTGCGGTTGACGCAGTTTTATCAGTAGCAGATTTAGAACGTAAAGATGTTGATTTTGAATTGATTAAAGTAGATGGTAAAGTAGGAGGTTCACTGGGAGACACCATTTTAGTCAAAGGAGTAGTAGTTGATAAGGACATGTCACATCTTCAAATGCCACGTGAAATACGCGATGCTAAACTTGCCATATTAACGTGTCCATTTGAACCTCCTAAGCCAAAGACTAAACATAAATTAGACATCACTTCTGTTGAGGAATATAAAAAATTACAAACTTATGAGAGGGAAAAATTTGAAGAAATGATTAAACGTGTTAAAGATTCCGGTGCTAATCTGGTTATATGTCAATGGGGTTTTGATGATGAAGCCAATCATTTATTAATGCAAAATGAATTACCGGCCGTTCGATGGGTTGGTGGTCCCGAGATAGAGGTACGTCAGTATTATTAGTAATTTTAACTTTTTCAATGATTGAAAATCTATCGAAATCTATTTATTTTATTTAGCTTATTGCTATCGCTACAAATGGTCGTATCGTTCCTCGTTTCGAGGATCTCACGCCCGAAAAACTTGGTAAAGCCGGACTTGTTCGTGAGATTTCTTTTGGTACTACAAAGGATCGTATGCTTGTTATCGAAGAATGTTCAAATTCACGCGCTGTTACTGTATTTGTTCGTGGTAGTAACAAAATGGTACGGGCTATTTATGATTTTTTTTTTTTTTAAAAAAAAATATATATATATTTATGTATTTGATAAACCTTTTCTTATTTAGATAATTGATGAAGCTAAAAGATCTATTCATGATGCTCTATGCGTCGTGCGTAACCTGGTTCGTGATAACCGCGTTGTATACGGTGGTGGTGCTGCTGAAATTAGTTGTTCACTCGCAGTCTCTAAAGCTGCTGATCAGGTAAATCATATACACAATAAAACTTGAACGATAATAATTTTATTTAAGCTAATATAATTTATTATTTAAAGATATCGTCGATTGAACAGCATGCTGTTCGCGCATTTGCTAACGCTTTAGATGCTATTCCTTCAGCTCTTGCCGAAAATTCCGGTCTATCTCCGATAGAAACTTTGGCTGATATTAAATCACGTCAAGTAATTGAAAATAATAGTCAATTAGGAATTGATTGTATGAGTACTGGATCGAATGGTAAATAAATTTTTTTTTTAGGAAAAAAAAAAAAAAATTTAAAAGATATTAATGATATTCTGATTTATTAAACCAATTTATTAGATATGAAGGTTAAATATGTTTACGATCCACTTATTTCAAAAAGACAACAATTCTTGTTGGCAACTCAACTTGTAAAGATGATACTTAAGATAGATGACGTAAGTTAAATTTTTTTTTTATTATTATTATCATTATTTATCGATATGATTTTAACTTGGATCATCAAACCTTTATAAAATAGGTCATCACTGCAGGACCAGAATAATAAATCTTATTTCTAATATTTGATTTTTGATTATTATCTTTCTTTACTTATTGAGTTACAAATTTTATTATTATATAAAGAATTATTGAGTTACATTTCCAATAACCTTAGTAACTTTCCCGATCGCAATTGTTTTGCCTTCGTCTCGGAGAGTAAATCTCCCCAGTTGTGGGTAATCCTCGAATGTTTCCACACAAATTGGTCCTTGAGTTTCGAGTCGAGCGATCACCTTTTGTCCTTTTTTAACAAACTGTGGTGCTCGCTTTGATCTCTTTCCTGTTTTTTTCTCAAGTACATGTAATAAAGCCTTTAATAAAATATAAATGAATTAATTATTATTATGACTTTAATCCTATCAAACGATAACATTGACATAATTAAACTTACAGAAATAGATACTTCTTCAACACAAGTATGTATGTGTAAAACACCACTGTACCCTGCACAAATGATATTTTTATGCTCTAAAATGGCTAATTGTGCCTCAAAAGTAGTAGCTGTTTTGACTGGACTTTGAGTGTCACATACAACAAAACCAGTCGAACATTCCTATAATTTAATTAAAATCATCATTCGTGAATAATTGAATTGTATATGCTTCCCATATAATTGACATACAACAAACCTCTTCTTCGATTCCCTTGATACGTAATCGAACGTTATCTCCGCAACTGCCAGACGTTACTTCATCTTCAAGTTCGTTGTAAATCGCAGCTACTTCAACAACATGCTATCAATGAATTTGATGGTTATAATTAATATGTGAAATACTTTGAAAATACCAAAAGAATAGACATGGAAAAAAAGATACCTTGTTTGGCATAATCACCACATTTTGACCTTTCTTGACTTTACCAGATTCTACTTTGCCTACCACAATAGTACCCATATCCTGTGAAACAGATGTAAAAAGTTCAGCTCAGCTCATTATCCATGGGTGTTAAATGATATTAAAAGAACTTACTTTATACTTTTCTATAATGGGTACCATCAATGGAGCGTTAATTTTTCTATCTAATGCTTGCATATCATCTAAATATTCCAATAACGATGGACCACTTTTTAACATAATAAAATTTGAATTAGATATTAAAAAAAAAGTTGATAAAAAATAGTAAAATAAATCGATCGATGATATCTTACTTGTACCAACTGCATGCATCCTTTGGAACACGATCTTTCAAATTGTAACCCGTATAGCCAGAGAGTGGTATAAATTGAACATCTAAATGCAATAGACTTAAGTAACGAATAACTTATGAGGTGCAAAAAAAAAAAATCCTTTTGGAAACTATTCTTTACATTATTATTACCTGAATTAGGATTATAACCGGTTCCTTTTAAAAATGGTGTTAATTTACTAACACACTCATCATACCTAAATAAACAAAAGGCTAAATTCAGTTTCTTTAATACAGATAGATCTTGGAAGGAAAAAAAAAAAAAAAAAACTCGTGGAACTACCTTTCCTTTGACCAATTTACTGTTACATCATCCATTTTATTGATTGCGACCACCAATTTGTTGACACCTGAAGTTTTGGCTAAAACGGCATGTTCACGTGTTTGACCACCTCTCTCGAATCCCGTTTCGAATTCACCTTTCCTAGCAGATATAACCTAAACAATTTCAATTAAAATATTGTATTTTGTATAAGAATATTTTCCAATCTGTATCACTAATATAAAAAATAAATGCCGTACTAATATTCCAACGTCTGCTTGAGAGGCACCGCCAATCATACTAGGTACATAATTTTTATGACCTGGTGCATCCAAAATAGTGTATCGACGCTTATCTGTTTCAAAATAAGCACGCCCACATTCTACTGTTTTTCCCTGTAAAAATAAAAATTTAATCGAAAATAATAATAAAAGAAATAGGATATATGTATTAAATACAAATAAAATACCTTTGCACGTTCTTCCTTATTTGTATCAAGCGCCCATGATAAATACCATGACTCCCGACTTTGTTCTTTGGCTTCCTTTTCGTATTTATCCATAGTTCTCTGATCAACCATTCCCGTCAAAAATCTTTTTCATATAAAATGTAAATTAGTATTTACAGAATTAAATTCTTGAGTCCCAATAAATGATACTTACAGGATATTACCACCCATAGTGGATTTACCGGCATCTTATTACAAATTGAAATAATAATCGAAACTCTCATTAATTGAAACAATACAAAACAAAAATCCCGATCCTTTCATACTATTTGAGATTATTATATTAAGCCAATCATTCATCTTTCCACCCGGATACAACTATCAGAGTCAAAAACGGAATTAAATCATAATACTAACCTACATGTCCGATAAATACTAAGTTGATATGCTCTTTTCCAAATAAATCCTCAATAACTTCTTCATCCACAGTCTCTACCTCTTCAGAAATCTCCTTGGGAGTTTCGTTTATATTCTCTTCAGGCATAATGATCAAGACGTTTTCGTTTTTATTTTTAAGGATTAAAAAAGCCTTTTCGATGACTATGATGATCCGTAAACTCAATTTATTTTAGTTTTCGTAATACATGGCGCAGCATGTTGATCCGTAATACGTCACAGACAAAGCTTTGACGCAGAAGAATCCGCGGAAAATTAGACGGCATCCCTAACTGCTCTGACACTATTTATTTTAATTAGTAGAGCAATCATCTGAATTTCAAAATTACTTTGTGGTCGATCAAGCAGTATTAGTGTTAACTGATTTGATTATCTTATTATCAGAATTACGAAATTAATGCAAACGATAATCTTATTTATTATTTGCCATGAACTTTACATATAATAAATACCATTTGTTGTTCTAAAATACAGAAAGGCAATCGATTAATTATGTACGATTTGGGAACATGCAGAAATGTAACATAAAAGTTAATTCAACATCTACCCCACATTTTTCTATTAAGTTTACTTTCTCACGAAATATATTTTTTCTAATAAATTAAAATGGGACAATCAACGTCGTCTCGAGATTTCGCAACACTACAACACCATTTACTTTATGATAACCATGCAAACCGAAAGGCAATGCTTGATTTTATTGCTGATGATCCCATTTACATTCCGCGTTACAACATGCCACTTGAGTTTGAACGAGAGATTACATTGCAACGCTTAAAAAAACTTGCCGATAAAGGTTTCATCTCCGTATTTGATTTTGAAAAAAATCCGCTTAATATTTTTGCTGGTATTTAGTTTCTCCTTAAAAGTAAATTAATAGAAGTTGTCGACTAAAGAAAATTTTTGTCTAATTTTAACAAAATTTCTTTTAAATTAGCACACGAGGTAGCTGGTATGGTTGATGGTTCCATGGGTACAAAGGTATTTATAATTAATTTAATAAAGTTGTGTTCTTAAATGATCATCATTGACAATTTATGATGTAGATGACAGTTCAATGGAACCTTTTTGGTGGAACTGTTATTAAACTTGGAACTGAACGTCATAGGCATATACTTTCTGGCGCGGACAATCTTCACAACGTTGGATGCTTCGCTTTAACTGAGCTAGGCTATGGTAACAATGCGGTGGAAATGGAAACTACCGCCATATATGATGATGACAACAGAGAATTTATCATCAATACGCCGACAACGTTGGCTCAAAAGTATTGGATCACAAATGTAGGTTTTCGAAACTTATATCTGAGAATTACCTGCTTATATTTAATATCACTGCTTTTGAATTATTTCTTGAATTAGTCTGCTATTCATGCAAAATGGGCTGTCGTTTTTGCTCAAACTATAATTCGTGGACAGAATGAAGGAATACACGCTTTTCTTGTCAGAATTCGCGAGGAAAAGTAAAGTATCATGTTTAGCAAAGGTTTACTTTGGTATTTCTATAATTCCGATTGATCTTATTATTTATCTATAGTATGAAACCTTCAGAAGGCGTCATCATTGAAGATATGGGAGTTAAATTTGAATGTAACGGTGTAGACAATGGTATGTGATGTAACGTTTATTTTTATTTTTATTTTTTTATCAATTAATTACTAATTGTAACGAATTTAGGTAAATTGTGGTTCAAAAATGTAAGTTGACTTACGTCGCATTATAATTTTCGGATGTTCAACTAAAGCATCAACGTCAAGTCATTACAAACATAGGTACGAATCCCGGTACAAAATCTTTTAAACAAATATTCTGACATTGATGAAAATAATAAATATTCAAGTGTCGTCAATAACCGTCGCGGGTACGTAATATAGTAATTTATGATTAACATACCCATATATATAATACGTATTGTTCGAAATTAATTAATTTGCTATTTAAGACGATTTTTGAAAGTTGCGGATCAGCTTCTTTCCGGTAGATTGGCTATTGCGGCTCTGAATTTGGGAGGAACTAAATGTTTGTAGAATTTTAATCCTATTAAGTTGCATTCTATTGGATATATTTTCTCAATTTACTGCATTGAATATAGCTTGCTTATCTATTGCATTCCGATATGCAAGTTCTCGTTTAGCTGTTGGACCAAATGGAAAGAGGTATGTAGGGTTATTTCAATATTATCACTAAATTTTTCAAATTAAATTTTTTATTTCAACGATAGTGATACACCAATCCTTGCCTATCAACTTCAACAACGCGCATTGCTACCATTATTAGCAACCACTATCGCATTAAATATTGGCTTGAATTATTGTAAAGTCAGGTGGACAGAACAGGTGTTTATGATATCCAGATCCATTAATGAAAATTAAACGACTTTCTAAAATTTTCTAATGATTTATTAATTATCAGACGGATAAAGATGCATCTGAAATTGTAAGGTTATGCTGTGTTATAAAGCCTTTGATAACTTGGAACTTTGAACGCGTTGCTTCCGTGTGTCGGGAACGTTGTGGTGGACAAGGATATTTGAGCATCAATAGGTTTGGGAGCTTTATTGGATTTTCCCACGCGGGGTGCTCGGCTGGTTCGATCTTTTTTTTTTTTTTTTCTTTTTTTCGACTTTGAATTGAAACAAAAAAATAATTTATAAAATTTATTTTAACATTAGAGGGTGATAACAGCGTTCTTATGCAAAAAGGTATTTATACCGTTATGCATATCTAAATATTCAGATAATTAACGATTATTTCCTTATTAGTTTCCAAAGAATTGCTCGCGGATCTACAATCTGGTTCTGCGAAGTTACCTGTTGTGCCAGATGCAAGTAATGCTCTGTCATGGGATATTACTAATTTAGATAATCAACTTGGTTTATTTAGACTTAGAGAACAATTTTTGGTTAATGAGGTAATTGTTAAAATAAAATAATATGAGGAGTTGTTTTTTACTTGCGAATGATTTCGTGGTCTAATAAACAAAGTTCATTCTAGTTGAGATCGAATATGAGCAAGAAAACTTCTTCAGGCGTTTCAATCTTTGAAGCTTGGATGAAGCAAGAATCTGATACCATTCAAGCCTTGGCTAAAGCGCATGGGGATAGGATTGTTCTTGAACAAGTAATTGCTTCTATTCAAAAATTATCAGGCAATGTATCGTAAGTATAATCAATCGCTGGAACGTGATGTTAACTCCTTTATAATAAATTCTTTTTTCACTAAGTAAAAATTTTTTTTATTTGATTAGAAAAATACTTACTACCGTTGCCCATATATATGCTCTTACTCAAATTGATGCAAATCTTGCGTGGTATATGACAAATAAACTAATTTCAATACCGACTGCTGCGACTGTACAACCATTACTTCGAGAGATCATTAAGGAAGTATCTCCCTATAGCATGCAACTTGTTGATGCTTTGGGAGTTGACCCACGTGTACTTTATGCACCAATTGCGAACGATTGGGCAAAGTATAACGAAACCGATAATCAAGGTGACATTTTAAATCTATTGATATTTGTACTTTATGATTTCTTCAAGATATTAATTTTCTTTTTTTTAATTACCTTAGGTGAATTAGTAAAAGATATATCGGTCGGAATGAAGGCCAAGTTATGAACATACAATAATTGGAAATATAAACTATTATTTAATTCTTCAAGATGTTTTCTTTTAAGTTTATAAGATTGTTATTTAATTAATAAAGATTTTGATTGATCTTTAATTAAATATATGAAGTCATTAGATTTCTTTTTGAATTATCATCTCTATTTGATACATTTGAATATGATAAAAAATTTATTTTAAAAACCATTTACAACTAAGTATGTACCAGTACATGAAACTGGTAAAATTGCTTACTCCTCATTGAAACAAAAATTAGGAAATGTTTGATAATCTCTTTACCGCACCTATATTCAACATCATACGTTATTTTGTTTCTTTTCAGGCGTAGCTCAATGAAAGATGAATGGAAATGAAAGCTTGCCAATCACCAAAACGTCACCATCTAACAAGAAACACGCTCTTTGACCCGTTTTTATTAAAAAAAAAAAAAAGTTGTACGACTTTGAACCAATCAGGACGTTGGTTGACAAAGATTTTCCTGCGCCACGTTTCATGAAATACAGTAACTGTTTTCGTTGATAAATAATATTCTTATCCTGTAGTAAAAATTTGAATTTGTTTAAAAAAACTTATGTAATAATATGGATTGATTGCTAGGAAAATCAGGTACCGAGGAATTTTTTTGATGCATTAAGCTCTTAATTTTAGTCAAAAAATTTTCGGATACTAGAAATCATCCCATATATTCATTTCCGAGTTGAAATAAACTATAGCACGTGATATAGATAGATAATATGATAAATCTCTCTATATATATTCCAAGTTTTTATCACGAACTTGTTTATAACAGTAAAAACTTGCATTGTATCATATCTAACACCGTAAATGGATAAGAGTAAATTAGAAGGTTTTTAGATAGAAATAAGTAAAACTACAAAGTTATTTTTCTTGAAAACAATTTAAAATTTTTCGGTTCAGATCCTGCGGTTATGTATGTACCTTTTTTCTGAAATAATGAAAAGGTCCATTCCTTTGGGAATTCCTACCATCGTTCTTGCCACAAACATCCCTTCAACGAATTTACATTCTTTTTTTAAAAAATTTATAGAAGGATAAAGCAAGAAAGGAAGTTGATTATAAATTATGAACTTTAGTTAAGTAAATTATGAAGTTCCCAACAAGGACGCTTAAATAAGACCTAAGATCGAGGTACATTTTAAATAACACAAGTATAATTATTATACTTTAAGGTTATTTAACTTGCATAATAGGATTAACTTAGGACAGGAAAGTATACGCAACTTTATAATGAAAATAAATATCACAACTACTATTAAAAAATTACTAATGTTAATATATAATCGAGCAGGTTAATATAATTTTTGTAGTTGTTTTTTTTTTTTTTTTAAAAAAAAAAAAAAAAAAAATAGGTCCTTTCCTTCTTTAAAATAATAATAATAATAATAATCTTACGTGTCAATTTATTAAAGCATTACTGTTATGATCATTTATTTATAACTTTCAGAAAATCAATTCAAGGATTTGCTTTTAATGACCTTACATTCCAACCAAAATAAAATTTCCCCAAAATCAAGAAAATATGTAATATAATTATATCTTTATAAGGGTAAATTTTTCATGATATAAATTAAATTCTATCGTTAGAATTTCGAAAGCATTTTATAACAATATAATATTGAAAGATTCAGTTAAGTTATATGTAGTAAAAAGCTACAGTAGTTATGTAGTATATCTTCGATAAAATATTTAATCTCCCTGATAGGCTTATTCAACTAAAGAACTTGTGAATGTAAAATGGAAAGTTAAGTAATCACGATATACGTGATAGATTCTTGTATATAGTCATTAAGTCTTATAGACAAAGTTGTAGTGAAAGTTATTGATAAAATTTACAAAGCTTGTATCAGGAAGTTATCATGGTGTAACGAGAAGATGTACTAAGTATCCAAAAATGATTTTATTAAAATTCATAACACCATCGATAAAGGAATGTATTTATTTGCACGAGATAGAATTCCAATAAATATATAAAGCATATCGGCAAGTCAATTCATAATGTCATCCCGACATTTCTTCCAAGTCAAAAAATAAGAGAGAATTCCAGAGTTATTTTTATCTCTCTCACTTTTTTTTTTTTTAAAAAAAAAAGGTTTAATTAATAATCATTATCAAAAGACAGAATATATACATTCCTTGTCCATCAAATACGATAAATCTGGATCAGAATTTTAATCAAATAATACAATCGAATTCGAATTCTTTAAATTTACTGTGTAAATGAATTAAATGAATTAAAAGGTGCACAAAATGCAAATAAATGCAATCAACAAAATCCTTGCCAATTATATATATATATACCCAGAAAAAAAATGATTATTTTTGAACAACAAAAACACAACTTTGTCACTAAAAAAAAAGTTTGTTTTTGGTCCTTTTTTTTTTTTTTATTCCTCAATTCCTTAAGTAATGTCTGAACAATTTTTTCATAAATTAAGCCAAAATTATATTGAAATTTTGGGAGATGATGAATATTATGACATAAACATAACAGTTGGTAAAGATCCGAACGTGAAAATATTCCGCGCGCACATGATTATATTACGTTATCGTTCTTCATTTTTACGACAGATTTTGGCTTTCAATGAAAAGGATAATGATGGTGGTTTGACTCATATCAATTTACCAAATATTGCACCAGAAACCTTTCAAATTATTTTAAAGTAAGTTTGCAAAACCATATGAATTTTTCTTGAAATTTATCTCAATCCTAAAAAAAAAAGAAACTTATAATTCAGGTACATTTATGGTGGAATTATTTCATTAAATGAACAAGATACTGAAGATACTTTAAAAGTACTGGTTGCTGCTGATGAGCTTCTCCTTCAAGAATTAGTAGAATATGTACAAAATTATTTAATGGATAATAAAGCCGGATGGATCGAGCAAAATTTTGATCTCACTTATCAAATAATATTTCAATCCAATTATTCCAAGAACTTGAAGGAATTTCAAGAATTTTGTACGAATTTCATGATTAAATCACCTAAAAAAATATTTCAATCATTAAACTTTGTTTCGCTTCCTGAAGGATCATTAATCTCACTTATCGAAAGTGATGAATTGCAAATGAGAGAAGTTGAAGTTTGGGATCATGTATTAAAATGGGGACTTGAAAAAAATCCTACGCTTATTTCCGATCCTTCAACTTGGTCATCTGATGATTTCAAAATAATGGAAAAGACGTTACAACATTGTTTACCTTTAATTAGATTTTTTAGTTTCACTTCTGACGAATTCTTTCAAAAGGTTATTCCATATAAGAACCTTTTAAAAACTCAGCTTTTTGATGAATTAATGAAATCTTATTTCGATTCCAATAGCGAACCAACGATTGATATTTTACTACCTAGGAATAGAAATATTGATGGAATTATCGATTCGGAACTCATTAACGTAAATATCGTTTCATTGATTTCAAGATGGGTTGATAGAATAGATCTTAAAAGCAAGTTTGCTTACACGAGAGAATTATATTTACCATATAAATTTAAGCTCTTATTTAGGGGAAGCGAAAATGGATTCACTTCCAATAAGTTTCATGAATTATGTGATAATATCCAATATACCGTTACAATTTTTAAGGTAAAGGGAACCGAAGAAATCATCGGTGGGTATAATCCTTCAACATGGAGTTCTACTATTGGATGGGGTTATAATAAGGATAGCTTTATATTCTCATTTAAGGATAGGAATCATTTAAAAGATCCAATTGTAAGTTATGTAAAGAATATGTCTTGTGCTTTATATAATAATCCTTATTATGGCCCCTCGTTTGGTCATGATCTTATTGTAGAACCAGAACTAAGGTTATCTTATAAATATGGTTCTTATTATGAGAAAAGGTTAAGAGATACTGATGGTAAATTTTTTATACAAGATTACGAAGTGTATCAAATTTCAAAGGACCTATTTTTTTTTTTTTTTTTTTTAAAAAAAAAAAAAAAACAACTACAA